TTTTCGTTGCGCTGTGATGACGACAAATGCGCGCTTTCGTCGAGCGCGATTTTGTCCTCCGCGGTTTTGACGGGTCACGGATTTTAGTCTCAGAACATTTACTGCAGATTAGATTCCTTGAAACAAAAACTTTTTATGAACAATAAGCAAAGCAGGCATCCATAATCAATTAAAAATAACAAATAGGAAAAAGAACAACTCTCATCTATAGTATAATTGAGCCTCGTTGGTGCAGTGGTTAGAATGCAGTACTGCAGGCTACTTCTACTGCCTGCCAGCTGCCTGCAATTTGGCAGTTCGAATCTCACCAGGTTCAAGGTTGACTCAGCCTTCCATCCTTCCGAGGTTGGTAAAATGAGGACCCAGATTGTTGGGGGAAAGAGGCTGACTCTGTAAACTGCTCAGAGAGATTGCAAAGCACTGTGAAAGTGGTATATGTCTTAAGTGCTATTGCTATTGCTAAGGAATAAATTATATAGAGGCAAAAGCTTCTTACATGCATTATTACCATAATCTGAGTCAGTTTTAATACCAGTTTAACTCATCTTCAAAGCAAGATCCTGTAACTAGTCCTAGGAAAACAGTGAGATCTGACAGTAGGACAGAGTTAGAATCAATAATGTTTTACAAAGTACCTTGCATGAGATATTTTCAGTTATACTATCCAAGTGTGGAAGAGATTGATTTTTCCCATCTGTTTTTCTTTCCTTTTTTCCCCTTTTCTTTTGCACTAGACAGTTGGTGATAGTCTCTCCGACATGCTTGTGATCGAAGCCATCTTGATGTTGAAGAACCTCACAATTGCACAGTGGGATGCTCTGTACACAGATCTCCCAAACCGACAACTCAAAGTGAAGGTTAGTTGGGAACCAGAATTAAATGGATTGTTAAAATTAAATGGACTGTTAAAAAAAATTAAACTTTTTTTTTCTTGGGTAGATGCGATCCAGAGATGGGAAGACCAGAGGGGGAAAAAAAATCAGTGATGTTATTTGAGGCTGCAGGGGGGAGGGAAATAAAGGCCATGCTACATTGATGATGATGATAAGTTGAACTAATAAGTCCTCTGAATACCTTACTCATCTCAGCAGTCTAGTAGATGGTGTGATGAACAAAAAGAAATGGCAGAGGCTACTGTGGGATTGTCACATGGAAACACTTGAATAATGAGTATCTTTAGTCTTGCAAACCAATCTTAATACATTTTGTTTATACCTTTGGAGTTAGCAACATAGAACCTCTGATTAAACGGTCATAGCACTCCTCAGATCAATAGCACTAGCAATAGGATTTATGGAGATGATTGCGGGCCTATCTTATGGACAACCCATCCCGACCGTATCTGGACCGTCAGACCCGGGGGAAAGGCCTAGTGGTGAGGGATAGTGTTGTGGCTCGGTAGGAGCCTTTGGAGCTGCTATCAGTGAGTAGTTTCAAGATGCTCACAGGAGAAGATAACAAGCAGCTGTGGCTCGTTAAGGATCTCCTGCGGATAAAGGACTGATGGTGCCACGCCTTAGTTGCAGAGGTCAACGTTCGTTCGTTCGTCCATTTCGTTCCTGTTCTAGTTTGTGTTCATGATTCAAAGAAGCACTTGGATAAGTGATTTGCTTTATATAAACCTGGTTTGCTGTGAGAGTTTGTTTTTGCATTTGCTGTTTA